AAGGGTTACCCTCAGAAGGGTTACCTTCACAAGGGTTACCCTCACGAGGGTTACTTACCCTTGTAACCCTCACGAGGGTTACGAGGGTTAGTAACCCTCGTGAGGGTAACCCTCGTGAAGGTAACCCTTTTGAGGGTTACGAGGGTTAGTAACCCTCGTGAGGGTAACCTTCACGAGGGTTACCCTCACGAGGGTCACGAGGGTTATGAGAGTTACCCTCACGAGGGTCACAAGGGTTATGAGAGTTACCCTCACGAGGGTCACGAGAGTTACCCTCACGAGGGTCATGAGAGTTACCCTCACGAGGGTCACGAGAGTTGCCCTCACAAGGGTTACTAGGGTTACCCTCACGAGGGTCACGATGTTACCCAGGTCACGTGACCCCCCTGGGGTCACGTGACCTGGGGATACCCCCCGAGGTCACGTGACCCCCCGTTGACGTCATAGCCACTGATGACGTCATCAGTGACGTCACTGATGACGTCACCGGCATCCGCATCGTCATCGTCATCATCGCTGATGACGTCATCAGTGACGTCACTGATGACGTCACCGGCATCCGCATCGTCATCATCATCACTGATGGCGTCATCAGTGACGCTACTGATGACGTCATCGGTATCGTCACGTGACCCCCCGACGTCACGTGACGCCCCAAGGTCACGTGACTCCCACAAGGTCACGTGACCCCCAAGGTCACGTGACCCCCCGCCCCCGAGGTCACTTGACCCCCCCCCCCCCAGTACCCTTCCCTCCTCCTCCTCAAGAGCTGCGCTCTAATTCGGCGTTACAGGGAGTTGTAAACGGCTTTCATTTTTTGTACGAACACTGCCAACCTTCTCCATCCGACAAGGTGTGCTCCACAAGGAGAACCTCAGTGATAACAACACGCCGTGGCTGTTGGTGATCCCTTCCAGTCTTCGAGGAAATATTTAAAGCCTGCCACGACCAGACGGCGGGACACCTTGGTTACAGCAGGACTCTTGCCAGGATACGCGAAAAGTACTACTCGCCCAAGCTTTCGAAGAGAGTCCACCACTACACCCGCTCTTGCAACGAGTGTCAACAACAGAAAAAACCACCGACGAGAGGGGCAGGACTTCTTTAGCCTTTTGCGCCACCATTGGCCCGTTTCCAGCAAATCGGAATGGATTTACTTGGACAATTCTCACCCTCGACGCTCGGAAACCGATGGATAATCGTCGCAACCGATTATCTCACACGGTACGCCGAGACAAAAGCCCTTCCATCAGGAACGGCTGTTGAAGTCGCCAAGTTTTTTTATTAAGTCCATTGTCCTCCGGCACGGCGCCCCCGAAGTCCTCTTTACACGCCGTGGATCATCGTTCATGGCCCAGCTGATGCAGAAGATCCTCCGTCTTAGCAACACCAACCACCGGCGAACCACAGCTTACCATCCTCAGACTAATGAGCTGACGGAACGCCTAAACAAGACCATCGCCTACATGATCTCCATGTACGCCGACGTGGAGCACAAGACATGGGACGAGGTGTTGCCATACGTCATATTTGCATACGACACGGCCGTACAAGAGACCACCGGAGTGACACCCTTTCAACTGGGGCATGAGCGCAAGGTCACGAAATGCTGGACGCTTTGTTACCCCACGAATCGGCTGTCAACAGAAGCGACGACGCCCAGGTGGTTGCCCAACGGGCAGAAGAAGTCACTCAGCTCGCCAGACTTCGGAGTAAAGCCCGACAACGTCTCAACACTGGCCGCTACAACCTTCGTCGTCGGGACGTCCACTTCCAGCCCGGAGACAGGGTGTGGGTGTGGACACCGTTTCGCCGCTGCGGTCTCAGCGAGAAACTCCTGAAACGCTACTTTCGACCCTACAAAGTGCTTCGTCGACTCGGGAATCTGAACTACGAGGTGATGCCCGACGGAACACGGACTTTATCACGCCGCTCTCCACGACTAGAAGTCGTCCACGTCGTGCGACTCAAGCCGTACTACGATCGATACGACTCTGAATTGTGTTTTGTAATACGCTCGATGGGATTGTGCTGCACAAGTGTACGTAGTTTCATTATTTTTTTTTGTTTTGCTGTTTTTGTTTTCTGGCACGTCGCATCAAGACTATGCGCTTTTAAAGGGGTGTAATGCCACGCGCGCCGGCGACCAAGCGCGTGCGTGGCCGAGTGGTTACCGCGCTTGACTTTCGCGCGGTATTTGTAGGCTCCATTCCTGTCAGCGGACTGTCCTTTTATTCATTCTTTCAATATGGGCCTTCTCGTAAGTTCAAGAACATTCTCGTCTGATCGAGTTCCAAATATTCTACGCACCGAAAGTTCTACGCCGAATGATGCAGAAACCCACGAGTGTACATAAGGGACTCCGCAAAGCGAGCGGAATCAGTCTCGCTCCAGCGATCGATCCTGCTGTTTCGCCGAGATCGACGCCTGCGACGCTACCTTACTTTTATTTTGTTTTGGGCACAAGTTCGCCTAATTATACATTTAGTTTCTTTAGTTATTCTTCGCCTCATCATTGGTCATTCGTGACACTATGACGCTCGCCAGCCAATGGGATTCCAATGGCAATCGATCAGATTTCGGCTTCACTTCGCTTCAGTGGGAGAAGGGAAACTAGGTGCTGTTTGGCTAAGAATTATGGGCGCTTTCAAAGCTGGAGCCATCAAATCGTGGCTTCACTTGGGGAAAGGAGTTTAGGTGTTGTTTGGCGCTACTTCAAACCTGATGGCGTCGACTCGCTCCATCGGACCAGTTAATGCTTTCCCATTAAAACGATTGGTTACTTCGTCTAAATATCAAGCCATATAAATGCATTCATTTTTCAAAAAGAACAAAACCAAAAAAGACGACCTATGTTCAACCAATAAGGCGAAAGTCGTGGCACGACCTCACGTGCAGCTAACCTTATACCCTTCACAACATACCTCATTTTGAATGCTTCTAATGGTATCTGGTTATCTTCAAGACATTCGAATAAAATATCGTGTAATCTTTTTACGTAAAGATCCGAGTACATTTAATCATTAAATTAACCGCATTTTAACCTTTGAATGAGCCTGTAATCCAATTGCTGTTCTGGCACTGGGAACCACAAACTACACAACCCACACGCGACTGAACCTCAAGCTTTTGACCGCTTGATTCGGCTGGAGTCATCTTGGTGTGCGCATGTTTCGTTAGATTTTACTCGATGTAGCTTCTTTATCCGCCTGAGTTGACGCAAAGGTCACGATGGAGAGGGTCGTCCTCATTCTTATGGTGAATTCCGCCCACAAATTTGGAGCGCTCCAAAGGCTCCCCCTTTGGAGCGCGAATATTCCACTCGCAGATCAGGCTCAAGTTGGTAATCTTCAGCTAGCATATTTCTGGCGGCTTAATCTTCGTGGAACACCTTCGGCCGTGCCGTAACCCTTGCGTCAACTTCGGGATAGCTCCCATGAGGTCGACGGTAGTACGCGACAGCGCATGCGCACCGGGAGCCGAGCCTATCTAGTCTGGAGACCTAATCTTGACACTTGGCAAAAAAGTGGGCGAGATTCCGGCGACCTTGATTGTCCGGCGCATAGGGTCAAGCTCGGCGCCGGCCCATTACGGACGCCGGATTTCTCGCCGATTTTTTCGCCAAGTGTCCAGGTTAGGGCCCTGCGTTTGTTTGCGCGGACATTGTTGTTTGCGCGCACCTCGGTTGTTTGCGCGGGCGGTGAAGGGCATGCGGTGAGTGCATTCCGTCTCGTGCGCTGCTATCTGGCATAGTTTCGTGGGGTGCAGAGGCGGGACTGGGTCGTGGCAAATTGTAAGCGCGGACATCTGCGATCCCGAGAGGAAGAACGAGGAAGAGCACGGGAAAAAATGCGGAGGACGCAGACGCAATGTTAGGCGTGTTCATCTTGACACAACTGATTACGTACCTTCTGTACACTGCATATCTCCAGTGAATTCTTATGCAATAGTGCGAGGACAGAGTAATAATGCCTTAACAGCGATCTGAGCTACGCCACTGGCAATAACCGCGTGCCCCCCCACCCCCCTCCCCCAGTTTCTGGCGGCGAACCGGGTCCTCTTTCGTTTTCAATATAGAATCTGTCGGTCGGCGCTCGAAATGTGTCGGGTATTCCTGCTGGTGCACAGCTACTGTATTGGGTGGTCGACGGAGGTTTCATTCAGCACGTCAAATGCGAGCTCAGGCAAATTGAGGGACCGGCCGTTTCTTACGACAAATAGTCTCCGGCGTATTGCTGTAAAAACGCGCTTCCATCTTCCGCTTGTCGATTCCGAGCCGGTGCCACGGATCGGTTTTTCTCATCCCTTGCAGTGTTTGGAAAACGATTCTTATCTACCAGTGTAATTCATGATCAGTCTTAATCGTCGTTTTTTTTTTTTTTTCTCCTTTTCCGAACTCGCCTTTTGTGTCTACGGCAATTTTACTTTGCATCGTTGTGTTGGAAAACGTTCCCGTTCGTTTAACAATGAACCGATCAGTTTCTTTCGTTTTTACTGGATTTTTGGAATGAAACAATTTGATAGAAACAAAAGTTATTACTCCTAATTGTCAATGTAGCTTGATTTACACAACCTCGTTGCTTGCAGCATTTCTTATGAAAAAGCGGGAAGGGAGTTTCAGTCTCTGTGATGCTTTATTTTTGTGGCAAATTTGAACCTGGGTAAGGTTTCTCAAAGAGCTTTTGGCTTCTAACATTCAAAATTCTAATATCCCGAAACGTAATTATCGTAGGTATTTTCATCGAATACAGTTTTTGTGCCACAGGAGCTGAGCAGGAGTCTAATTTTTTTATGAATATGTTTTGCTTAATGTGTTGATATCCGTCCTGTCATAAACATTACATAAAGAAAGCGTGGTAATAATATTTTTCAGCAATTAAGAGAGCGGTCGATGCACTGTGTTTACCGCTTATTTTCTTCACAGAACCAGCAAACTTGCTTTCATTTAAAGCTACCTGTTTTGTGGTTTTCTTGGCGTTTCAGCACCGTGTCATCGCTAATCAACTCCCAAGCTGCAATTTGTTACGTCGATATTGTCTCAGTCTTCGCCAATTTACCTGAAAGGAGGGCGGCGAACCTTACAAAGTTGCTGGGTAAGTTCAAAATAAATAAAATTAAGCGAAGAGTATAAAAAATCATTATATTGCTCCATTGTGCCTTCCCAAAAGCCGAGGAAGGACATTTTAGTTGTTTGCACGCGCTTCCCGAGAGAGTTTTTAGGGTTTACAAACCATTGAGACAAAGCATAAATACACTCGGTATGGCGTATCTTGCTTCACATAACCACAATATCTGTCATCAATTACCATAAGCAAAACGCATGAAAACGCTAAACGCTAACCAAAAGCGACGCGTTATTTTTATTGTCATCACAGCCAAAACAAAATACCACGTGTTGCATGATACTTTGTCTACAATTGAGTTAGCAACGGTCGAGGTTCATAGCCATTGGCGCCCCTCAACAAATGACTGATATAATTTCACCCTTTTTTAGAGTGCAGCTCTTTGGCGCCCGGTTTCGGCTTGAGTGGCGTCGGCGTCGGCATCGGCGTGACCACGCGTTGCATTATGGGACGTTTTTCAAAATAACGTTACACGTGACATCACGAGGGTCATTCTTGACGTCACCGCGCGTTGCATCATGGGTACATTTCCCCGCTAAATTTAGAGGAAAAAATTCCCTGTTAAACTTAGCGGAAAAATACCCCGCTAAACTCAGTGGGAAAATTACGCCGCTATATTTCCCGGAAAACATTAACCGCTAAATATAACAGAAAAATTTCTCCGCTCAATGTAGCGTAAAAATTTGTCCGCTAAGTTGAGCGGAAAAAAATTCCGCGCTAAATTTAGCGCAAAAAGCTCCAGGCTAGATATGGCAGAAAAATTTTCCACTAAGTTTACTAGAAAAAACGTTTCCGTTAACTTTAGCGGGGGTTTTTTCCGCTAAATTTAAGGGGAAATTTAGCGAAAGTTTTCCAGTAAATGGGAGAGGAGCAGGAAAGGAGGGTATGGATGAAAAGGAGAGACACACCCTCGTCTCCGTTCCTTCCCCTCATTCTGCTCAAGAGCTGCGCTCTACTTCGGAATTACAGGGGATTGTAAACGTCTTTCTTTTTTTTGTGTGTGATTAATCCCCTTCACAACAACTCAGTGAGTTTCAGGACTGCTTAAATTCTAAATGTAACATGTCTCGTTGTCAGCGATGAATGTTGTGAGGTTTAGAAACGTATTTGGTAGAGTTTTTTGTATTATTCTGGTATCGTCATTTTCTTGAAGCGCCCATAAAGGAATGCCTTGACGGCTCCGAATTTTTGTAGGATTCGTTCTTGTGAAATTTGTGTTTTACTCTATGCAATTGTTTTAAATCTGTATTTTGTGCAAACGTTGCAATTAGGCAAACGTTTCCACTTTTGAAAACAACGAACCTCTAATAACACACTCATAAAAAACGCTGCTCAACATTCAACTCTTTCGGTATTTTTCTATCTATATTTGTGTTCATAATGCTTAGAACACAGTTATGATCTAGCTGACTGAGCGCAATATGCATGTATTGCAGCACTTCCAGCCTCAACTGTGTGCATCTGAGTGTCTTTAGCCGGCGTTTGTCTTCTACCAAAAAAGACCTAATCTGTGTGTTTCCTTTTTTATCAATATAACGATCAAGAAACGACCTGTCGCAATTCCCTTCAGGTCCCCGCGCTCCGCTTTACCCACAATTGTTGGAGATGTGTTGTATGCAAGAGTAGACGTTTATTCTAAAGTTCCTTGCAACGAATGGCACGGGTAAATAATATACAAAGTCATTTTTTTTAAAGTGAGCCTTAAATATCTCTAATAATATAAGTCAGCAACCGTTTCTTCATGACCGAAAAGAAACTACTGAACCTCACCAAGTTCATGTTATTTCCCACTAAGCACAAATTGATATTTTTACGGCTCTATTCTTCAAGCTCATGGTTTGAAGGGATGGGTCATGAAAATATATGCCACATCCAGAACAGGACAGGAAAGAGTCAAATCTCTTGAAGTTTTCGTTCTAACGGAAGTCTTGGATAATAAACTGGGGATTAAAATCGCCAAGTTTAAAAATATTCGCAGGCTGGGGAAAAAAGTTTCGAACAAGACCTGCCTTACCCTTTCGCGGTTATCTAAATGTAAGAAAAAAAAACTGATCTGTTGCAACAATGCAACGAAAAAAAGAGACAAGTGTTACAGTTAATGAGAAAAGGTTGTGGGCTACAATTGAGGAAAAAGGACAGCCCAATTACAAAGATTTTCTTAGGAACGACAATTTAGTCAATAAAAACGAAACGTATGTGTGCGAAGTGACTGCTCATACACAATGATTTTAAGCGTCAGCTTATAAACATCAATGACGTTAGCATAGCAAATAAAGTAGAAGATTTTGATTAGATCCGTTTCGTTCATAATGCAGATGTAAGGGTGGTTGCAAAAATATGGTTGAATTCTAACATTCTTAACTTTGAACGTGTACTTTTATTGTGTTCGTAGCTTTTATACGATTTGTTTTGCTTGCAGTAAGACACCACGTTGCTGAAGAACGAAGCGCATGGGAGAAAAAAAAGTTCAGCCATTCCACCCCTTTAGGGCGGTTTCGTATGACTTACTTCTATTAAAATCCTTCAGAGCCTAGCCAACATTCTGCCGTCCCTAATTACTCGGGTACAGTGCCTTTAAGTTAACCCATTTGCAAGCTATAATAATAATAATTCCTTTATTTCCATCGAAGATGGGGGAGGTGGAGGAAAAAAGCTGCTATAGAGCAGCTTGGCGTGTCCTCAACCCCCTACCCTTCCAACATTACAACATTACCATTACCTTCCAACATTACATTACATTACCAGCTTTCCAACATTACCCTGCTGAGCTTTGTAAAGTTATCTCAAAGTAGAGAATGAAACTCTTCGTATCTTCTCATGCCGGCTTTCATCATTCACTAAAGCAGGGTAGTGGAAACACTTAACAGAACTATTGTGATTAAGCAAATGTTTGTGAATGCCCTTTAAAGGTGGTTGCGCACTGTCAATAACATGAAAGAGGGGCTGCAGTGGGTACGCCGGGTGCGGAAATACGAATCCATCTCCCGTTCACTTCCAGACACTTGCATTACTTCCCATTAATAAAATGGATGTCAGTAAAAGCAACAGCAAAGTGGAGACCAGCACATGTTAAGCTAATGATTGCTCTTCTAAGGACATTGTGTAATTCCCCTTCAGTGATTTTAAAATCCTTGAGGACTTGCGCAACGTCTTTGTAAAATGGAACGAGTGACTGCATCATAAATACGTGAGCCGTCTTAGCTGATTCGGCACAGTCTCCGGCAACGCCTGATAGACCCATTCTCGTGCACTAACGACATTTTGATTTCTACTATATTCAACATTAGCGTTACGGTTCCCACGCAAGTTTTTTTTTAGAAAACTGAATATCCTTTTCATCAAACAAAAAAAAAACGCCTTTATTGTGCCCTTGGCACGTGCTAACTTGTGTCGCACAAACGCGTTTCATCGTAAAAATATGAGGAAGAACAAGGTTATCGCTACTTTGAAAAATCCTATATGGATAAAGTGATTTGACAACAACATACACAGAAAAGAAGAGAATGAGACGAATACTTAGCCGCATTGCTCTTCTTAATCAAAAGAGTACATGGCTACTTAAAAAAAAAAAAAAAAAAACTTGAGATTACCTAAGCACTTCTTATGAGTTGTGAATACGAAAGCATGAATGGTCGTTCCTCCGCTCACTTAGTTTGTCTGCGGCGTACGGGCGTGGACGGCAACGTTTCGCTACTGCCAAGGTAGCGGCCGACGGCCGAGCGCGCGCTCTCGTGAAATGGCCGCTCCGCGCTCAGCTCGGCCGTTCAACCCTTCTGGAGTATGCCTCTGCGGGCTCTGCTCCCTTCTACAGGCGCGCGGGCCGCTGCGTGCGCTGAGCCGCCATGGAGAGTGCTCCTCTGGTGGCATTTCTTGGAACTACGGCGTGCGAGAGCCAATGGGAGTTTTATTCCTTGAAACTATGACGCGCGCCTTGGGAGCCTATCCATCCGATTTATTTTAAAGACGACAGGCTTCTCTCTCTTGGGACAGGGGAAGCTTCCGTTTGGAGCGGCTTCAAAAGCTGAGGACGTCGGTTCACTCCATGGGACAGTCAATGCTTTCGCATCAAAACGACGGCTTTTTCATCTCCTTCTAATCCGTCGTCGTAGATCGCATCAACAAGGTGCACATACAAGCATCAGTGGTGCACTCACGCGATCGGGCTGCTGGGGTCTTCGACTTCTGTAGTGATCCTCGGTGCTGCCCAAGCGCTAAGTGAGCACGAGGGCATCCTAATATTCTTTGGAATTTCCAGCAGTTATTCAGGAACAAGTTGCGCACACTACCAGAAGACGCGCAGAGGCAATTCGAACGACGCGGCTACTGACACAATACGTTTTGGAGCTTCCAATGTGAGCACTATGTAAGCAAATATCAAGCAGTTGTCGGTGCTCAGAGTTGACAAGAACTGTCTGTGGTGCAAGCGTTCTAAGCTAGATGTGATACCGTCTAATGTTTGCAGCTTGTTATCATCTCTCCAGTGTACGAGAACAACGACTGCTTAAAGGACCACTGACACCCCTAGATGCATATTTTTTATTTACCAAATGGTTGGACATGGAACTTAGGCAACACCCTCAAAATGTGGAGCCTGAAAACTACGTATTTGCAGAGAAAAACAAGCTTTTTCAGAACGCCGAATTTGAAGTTCCGGCGCTTTTCGGTGACGTCAAAAGTCATTTGGCGGATTTTTTTGGCTTTTTTTACTGCTGGTTTCCAGCCGGATGCTAAAGGCGAACGCTCACGAACTCCGCTACGCGTTGGCCGCAACGATAATGCTTGCGTTAGCGAACAACGCGTCAGGTGCTAGTTTTGATATACTGTTTGTCGACTGTTCTTAGGCGTCCCAAAAACATTCAAAAGCGGTGCATCTGAAGACGAACTGCAGCAGTCTTTGATGAGCGACGTGAGTGGCGATGTTGTGAAGGTGCCGCTTCAAGGACTGTCCCAGTACTGGCACATCCGAAAGT